AATATCGCGAACTTTTTTATTATTATTAGTACGCGCGAAAGTTTTATGAATGATTTTTCGACTCTTTATTCGACGCACGAATTAATTTGCATTTTATTGGGTCGTCGAGCGTCTCGCAATATGCGCGCGTGCTGCACTTTTGACTTACCCGGAATCGTTGCGGTAGTATAGTAGTAGCAGTAATAAATACGCTCATTTTTTTTTGTTAATTTTACAATTTCAAGCGTAATTAATCTAAAATTAAAATTACGAAACACGCGCAGCCGGCACACATATCGGAGCTTTTTAAGACGCTCGATACCATAAAACGCGCGCCCGAGTTTACGTAAAACCGCAAATGTATATATGTATATATAGAGAGAGAGAGAGAGGAACGACGTCGTGCAGCCTACAAACAGTTACCTCCTTTTATACAATACAAACGACCGTGAAAATTCCTCGACACAGACGAAACCGCAAGCTCCGCATGCGGTGCACACACACACACACATGTACACAAGTTCGAGTGTATATATATATGCGTTATGCAGGGCGTGCTCCAGCCTCGCATATTATACAAAAGTCCCCACCCGCTTCTCTCTTCTCTTCTCTCCCCTTCCCAAAAAAAGACGTAAGGAAATAAACATATGCCTCGAGAGTTTTGCTACTACTGCTGCTGATGCTGATGCTGGTCTGGCGACGTTCTAAAAGAGCTTCGCGCGTGACACAAAAGCATCGCAGGGCACACACACACATACACACAAGTCGAGTTCGCGCGCACCCACGCCAGAAATTGCGTTCGCATATATATAGAGACTAAAACTTTGGCGCGCACAGCACGTGCCTTCTACTTTATGCTGGTATAATAGTAAGCTAGTATAAGCTATACATGTGATGTAGTAAAAAATATACGGACGAGACGTATACGTATATATGCGCAAAATCTTTATCGTGTTTCGGATACACGATATGCTATATATATTCGACACCATAAATATTATTAGTTTCACATCCTCGCCGCGCCCCGGTGAGTGATACCTGTATCGCTGAATATCCTTTTGTACGATATAAAGCACAAACACACTCGACGGAAAAAGAAGGATACATTACAATACGTGAAATAATGATCGTACGCGGCAGCTCCGCAGCCAGTTACTAAATTTGTGCAGCATCATATTGGCCGAAGGTTAAAAAAATCGATACACACACGTCGAATTCCGTCTATGATACTACTCATCTCGAGGCCGAAGCGAGAGAGAGAGAAAAAATTCCATCCGTTTCGTTGACACGCTTACAATAATTAATCCTAAAAGCTAGGCTGGGTATGCGTCATCCAACATAGGCTCGCGACGCAACGATCGCATAATAATGACAAATCCCTTTGCAACATTTTAACTCACGATCTCGCGCGGCGTATATATTGATCATTGCTCTCCGGGATTGACAAATGTATTGTGCGAACGAGTTCAACGTACCACGAGGCGAAAATCAATTTTATTTTTCTCCTTTTTTTTTTATCACTCGTGTTTTACCAATGTTACACGAGCGGTAAACTAACGCGCGGGTAGCCACGTCGACGCGCATTAAAAGCGCACCAAGTGAGAGAGAGACCTGCTATACACGCGGTGTGTTTGTTTGTCGATGCAGCGGCTCGCTCGAACCCGAGCTTTGCGCGGATCTGCTCCGACACTCTCGATCAACCGTACGTATATATTTGCGTGCGCTTTTTTCTTTATTATTCTGTCTTTTTTTTTTCATTTCACTTCCGACGAAGTGTGGCGGCGCTTGATTTTCATAAATCGTCGCTTCATACCGGGCGCCCGTATATATATATATAACGCACGAGAGCAGCAAAAATATATATGAAAAATTCATAAGTTTCACCGTCCATATTATACATATATATCTATAATAATACGCACATGCAGCGCTCGGAGAGAAGCGAGCTTTTGCGCTTAGCTGTCGTGGCGCGCACGTACCCTCGATATGATATATTTTCTCTCTCTTACTCTAGCAGCAGCGGTAGTGGTAAGGAAAAAATACGCACGGATTTATATACGCGTATAGGTAAGAAAAAGTATATGTGTATGGAGGTAAGAGGGCTATGAGGATAGCGTATAATAATATATATTCGACGTGTACGCCGCCTACCCGTATTAATCCGCAGATTTATAAATGCTCCGTGCAAAAGTGTGCGATATCTATACATCGCTCGTTGCATCGCATATCTCTTTCCGGCTTTTTTCTGAGCTTTTTTGGTAAAAAAAAAGGCAAATCAACGCAGATCAGTAGCTCGCGCGGTTGATACGACTCGTCGCATCGAACGCGTGCGAAAGCGTAAATTTAGCGAATATAATTTGCGACGAAAATAGAGAGACGAGAGTGGAAGAGAATTGATTTTACGACTTCTTCGCACGAGCGCCTCGATATGTATACAAAAATATGTAAACCTCCGCACGTGTACGTTCATTGGTTTCAATGTATATTGTTAAGTATTAACGATTTTGAATTAGTGTTTGAAGATTTTATTCGCGTCGTTTTATTCATATCACATTGAATATAATTAAAAACTACGGGCACAAATTAACACATAATTTTGAAAAACTCCATGTGAATTTTATTCAATTATTTTGACTTTGTCACTTGCAGATTTGTAGGTGAAGGCACTCGCCATCTAGTGGTGACGGCCAATATTAACCTATGATTGAAAGTTTATACATTTTTTCCTAAAATTAACGTATAAACTTAATCGGCATTAAAACATTGATAATCAAACAAATTGTTCAAGTTTGAGTACATAATTAAATCCTTTCGTTTCCTTTTTTTTCATTAATATTATTTCATTAATAGCATTTTCATATAAAGTTTCTGCGCAGTTATAACGCCCTCGCGGACGATAAGAAAATTATTCATTTATTCAATTTCCTTTTCTTCCGATTCGTGGAAAAGCAAACGCGCGCTCGGAGAATAAGTAAGGGTGGGCAAAAAAGAAATAAATAAATAAATAAATGACGAATCAAGGCGCTTTTGCGAAAGTTATTATACGCGCACGCGTCGCCGCGCGCGGCATTTATCTATAATAATATGCAGTCGATCGGCAGAGAGGCGAACGAACGCGTAGGCGCGCTGCGAACTATTCTACACTTTGTGCATATGTGTGTACATAATTATAATAACACATCGCTTATATGTATGCCATGTGTATGTGTGTGCATTATATATAATACGTATGGCATTCGCGCGAATGCGTCGCAGTCTCGATACGTATATGCGTATGGACAGCGGCGATGAATTGATTTATATTATCGGCGAGTATTTTATAATGAGTCGCGCATACCATCGACGCGTTTCGAGCCATTCAAAGAGTCGAGAGAGAGAGAGAGAGAAAAAAATCATGACAACGTCCGAGAGACAGAAAGAGAAAGAGATAAGTGCAGGCTTGTATAACGCGTGTTTTTCCTCTGTCTCCGTCTCTCGGGCGATCTTGCCGAGCTATTTTATCTGTATTTTCGAATGCACGTGAAACGAACGAAAAAAAAAACAAACAAACGAAGGTATACTATACTAACGAGTCGTAGCGCGCACTACTCGCCGCGGGAGGGCGGGGGGTGCGAAAGAGACACACCGCGCGCGATTAATTAAGACGAGTATATTACACGGCTGGTGCGCCCTCGCGAGTGCAGCTAATTTGCCTGCAAATTATTTCATTCTCTGTTTCCCTCTCTCTATATATGTCTGTATGTGTGTGTAGTTTGCGAACAACAAGTCGCATAAAATTAGAGTAAAAGAGAGAGAGTGAGATAGCGGAAATTTGGCTCCAGCTAGAGTAGAGCTACCGATGCTGCTGCTGGCCTTTATTTAATATTACACACAGAGAGACCCTTTTACGTTTATTAAAGATTTAGAAATTTCGCCGAAAACGCTTTGTAGTTTTGTCTGCTGTACCGTGTGTGTGTGTATTTTATATATATATAGTATTAAATAGCTCATTAAGCCATCTTTCATTCTCTCTCGTCCAGGAAATTTCTTAAAAAAGAAATTCAGCGCGACGTTATAATGTATACGGCAGCCTAGCCTCGGCTCTCTTAATAAAGTGTTTTATTGATAGCTGGAATGAATGAGCGAAGAGCAAAAAAGAGAGCAAAAAAAAACGTAATTAAGCCAAGATGCGAGTGTGTGTATGTATATGTACGTATAAAAATATATATAAATAAAGAGGCGAGATGAGGCGCCGCCAACGGCCATATTTACACGATCGTCGTCAGGCGCTGCTGCTGCTGTTGTATACTGTGCGCCTTTTTCATTCATTCATCTCGCTCTCATTCAGCGTTTACTTATATAAATATGTGTGTGTGTGTGTGTATGTCCGTGTCGCTTATCGCTTATGTACCCGGCTTATTATTATTATCATCGTCACTTTTTTTCTTTCTCTCTCTCTCTCATCCAGAGCTGCGTTGCGCACGATTATTATATCGCGTACGACAGCGTGTGCATTTATATGGGTTTTGAATTTGTGCAGGCCTCCACTGCTGCTGCTGCATTGTCATTATGCTGCGTGTGGGTATATTATATTTATGGTGTGCTACCGTTGCACTTACATACGCATATATTGCGCGTATGTAACGTCTCGGAGTCATGGTAACACCGATACACATCGAGTACACGATCGTGTATGGTTGGTGTTTTTTTGACGATATCGATGCGCGTTTTATTATTATTATTTTTTTTTTGTCTTGAATACCAATACTTGACACGGATATGATATATGTAATTTACGAGAGAGATTAAATAGATCGCGACTCTCTATCTTATTTTTTCTATTACACACAGGCAGAACGGAAACGAGACTGTTACGAAATATCATCATGCATATTCCGAATTTCCCCTCGTTATTTATGACGTTTCGAAACGTCAACAAACATTCCATCTCTTATACATTATGCATCTATATCTCTTGGCGTTTATCAATCATTGAGAGCGTATCTACACTCGATTAGAAAAATCATTTTTTTTTTGTTTACCTTTGATTCTCTCCGTGTGGGGGGTAGTGGTGCCACACCGGCGAATGAAATCTCCCGAAACGAGCCACCGAAACAATCAACCACACCGCCACTCACCGGCTTTATTATTATATATATTATTAACAAACACTTCGCGTACGCGCTACCGCACCCGCGGTCATTATTCCGCAGCTCTATTCACGCTTTTATTGTTATTGTTGTACATCGAGATCGAGGGTGCACGAAAGCTGACGGGGTTGTTTTCGTCGTTGCAGCTGTTTACGCGCTGCTTTTATATCGCTGCATTAAACAAAGGCAGCTCGGCGGGCGAATCGTCAACGAGAGCTAGTTGCAGCGCTGGAACAATACGCGATAATTCATCCCTCTCTCTCTCTCTCTCTGTCTTGATTGTCGTGTTATTGACGCTGACGATTTGACATAATTTGCTCGTGGAGCTGCACTTTGTGATAATAATGATACGCGGACACCACGACGAGAAAAGTTTTTCCCTTCGCGAACTTTTATACTTGCACTCTCCACTGTTTGGAGCCGGAGACGAAAATTAGCCGCTGCCAGGCGTCGATCGCGAGTGAGTGAAAATAAAAACTCACGTACGAGCCGAACTAATTTTGACAACGACCGTGACAACAAAGGTATAAAAAGGGACGGAACGAAACGAGGCACTATAAAGCACACACAACACTTGTATTTTTTTTATTTTATTTTCACTCTCTATCTCTCTCTCTGGAGCAGTAAACAAAAGGAGAATCAACAAAAATTATACAGCACACAGCGATGAAAGCATCTATATACAGAGAGAAGACCGGGTGGAGGCACATAGACATATATATAGGAGCCGACACGACGAACATAAATATATATATAGCACACGCAGAGCGACGAGCGCGCGGAGATGTGGCTCGATCGATGTCGCTGAGCAGACTAGCGGCCGCAGCAGCGCCCCGAGCGCTCCGAGGCTACCGCCTTTTCCTCTCTCAACATATATATATACCCATGTAGCACGCACGGCATACACACATTGCACACATCCTTATAAACTCCTATATGTTGAGTGTGTGTATTTCGCACTATACCGCAGTATATAGTGGATCGCTATATGGGCAGATATCCTCGATCTCTCTCTCTGCCGCAGACAGGCCAGCAAATATATACGTATACGTACGGTGCACTATGTGTGTTGTGTGCGCCTGCGTGTATGTTTGTATGTATGCGAATGCGCTCGACACACCGTAAGAGCTTGAAATTGGATTAATTCAGCTTGTTTGTCAATGTGCGCGGGCAAACTACTACGTGTAGAGCACTGCAGTAGAAGCAAGCAGCAAGTGCTTTGTTTTTAGAATGTTTTTTTTCTTCCTAGCCTCTCCTCCGTTTCGTTGCATCCAAGAGATTTTTGACTCGAGCCATTCCAACGATTTTCTTTCTTTCTTTTTTTTTTGTTTGTCTTTCTCGCTGTCTCGCGCGCGTATCGTGCGCGATACACCTCGCGCCGAATCATAATAAATGGCTTTCGTTATGGGAAGAGACTTTACGTGTGCTTTAAGTCTCTGTCTCGACTCGACTCGACTCGACTCGATGGGCTAAATTGACTGTGTAGACGCAGCAGAAGCACGAGCCGAGGAAAATTGCAATTTTAAATAAATTGAAGTCGATCGCTGCATCGGACAAGCGCGTCTACTGCTGCTACTGCTTCTGCTGTCGAAGTTTTCCGGCTTACGACGAGTACCGGCTGACTATACAGCAGAGCGACGCAGTAAGAAAGAATCGATTTTACCTCATCTCGTGCCAAAACTTCTGGAAATTTTGCAACTTTATGAATTTTTATTTTTCGCATCCTCCTTTTCTTCTTCGACTCTGTGTTTTCCATCGTAATAGGTACGTACGTACGTACGTACGCAAAGTACTACGTAGCATCTCAACAAAAAGATTAAAAGAATTACTCGGGAGCTCGAGAGCTCGTTGATGAGGTATTAACGACTTTTCCATGTGTTCTATGTATAGTTGCGCGAGCTTCTTTGCTCTAGCTGCTGCTGCAGACTGGGGCAATTAAAATGCATATTATGCCAGAGCCCCAAGTGGGACGTACATATACTTACCCGTGCGCGTGCTAGATATAATGTAACGTTTATAAAGACGCTAGAGAGAGAGAGAGAGAGAGAAGCGCAGACAATGTCGAAAGTGGAATAATATAATAACGCAAATTTTTTCATATACGCTCGCGTCAAAGCTTTTCCATGTTGGTGTACGGAAAACAGCAGCGGAGCGTAAATCAAAAAGAAGAGTGAAGAGTAGAATATATACTCCGCGATGCGTGCCTATATAGGTAGGTGTTCATCGACTCGCGACGCTCGAGAGAAGCTCGATCGCTCGATATATCGGGGGTATATCGGACTGGTTTTCTCTGGTGTTTAGAATTTAACGAAGAAAAAAAAATTGGAGAGAAGTATAAAAGAACCTGTATTTAATTTAATGTATTTATAACATCCATGATTGGCAGTTAGTGGCCTGCCGTGTGTGCGCGCGAACATATACGTATATCAAAGATTTCGCTTTCATCGATACACATACGAGCTCGCGGGGATCAAGAAAAATTTAAGTGTAACGCAATTCAGTGGTCAAAAAAATATCGATCGATTATAAATATATTGATTTGGATGGATCGCGGAGATCATAATTTTTACACACTGTCGTTTCACCTGTCCGATCGTGTATAAGTATGTACCTGCGGCGCGGTAGGTACCTCATTGGTACTTTGTATGTATATTTTTTTTTCAGTTCGGCGATGCCCGCTTTCTAATCAAATTCTAATGTTTTTTTTTCTTCGTCCCTCTTTCGATGAGTCCGCCTTTGGGTCTAAACGAGAGTGCGTAGACAAACAAATCGACGCGCCGAGAGAGAGAGAGAGAGAGAGCAAAAAAACCAGTGTTTCATTTAGTGTCGATGATACAACACTTGTATATTTAAGGTAAAAAGAGAGACAGAGAGAGAGAGATGGGTGACGCTCAAATATTATATACATCGTTTGGAAATATCCAAAAAGTCGAAATGAATCTCGAGGCAGCAGCCTCTTACGTAGACACTCCGATAAACATCCTCGTCACCTTATTCAGCGCATAATACGCGATACATCGTACTACACACATATATAGAGTTTGGGTGGGCGCCTCCTCGACTTCTCTTCGATCTTTCGCGCGAGGTTTGCGAGAGGCAAATACTACAACTACTACACACTCGTGTCGATCGTCGAGGAATTCGCTCGTATACTCGTTCGTTCGTTCGTGCGCGCGGCACGAAAACTATTTGCCCGATCGGTATCGTCAGTCAATGTAAACTCTAATTGCTTTCCAAGTATATATAGCATACATACACATACATCGAAGCCCCCGAAGATATGACCTCGCGGGGCGATCTTCTTCTCGTATACGTATAGATAGTTTGATTAATGGTCCGTGTGTGAGCGAGCGAGAGATAGAGAGAGTAAAGGATCAGGACGACGAGAGCGCATCAAGTGTCTGGATATGTTAAAGCTCTCCACTGAGCTTGTTCGAAATAAAAAAAATCTTTTTTTTTTCATCCGAGCGCATTCCGATCGGTAATATGAAAAAATGCTGGCATTTCTATGTATACTCGCTCGCAATCGACGATTTGAAATCCGGGCGTCGAATTCGTAACGATGTATATATGCGTGTGCGTCCCAGTCGATCGCGCGATCGACCGTTAGACGAGCCTCCTATAATGTACGCCTGGAATACTTGATTATATTCCTCTCCTGACACGACAAAAGGTTAACTATATATACATCGATTTTTTTTTCCTCTTCTCCTTTTTCTTTCGCGTCACTGCCACGGGTAAAGAGTATTAAAGTCAGAATCGGATGGGTTAATTACTTTTCGATCTTACGTAAACTTCGCATCGGTAATAGGATATATAACGTTGAAATTAAATGACGGCTTATCTTTTTTTTTCTATCTATACCGATCCTTCCTTTTTTTCTCTCTCTTTATTCGCCGATCCTCGCGCAGTGTCGAGATTAGGCGCGTCGTTTATGCGCTACATTATAGGTAGGGATAAATACCTTACCGAAACGTAATATACGCATAATTATTATCGAACATTGCGCGCATACACACACACACATCCTTGTAAGAAGTTTACGAGGCTGATTTTTACGACTCTGCCGGGAATTCGTTAAAAGAATTCATCATCGTCGTGTATACACAGCGTAGATTTAACGTCTTTCTCGTTATGCGTTACTTAACTCCTTCTTCTCTTTCTTCTTTCGTTCGACAAGTGTATGTATATATACGGATTAATTCCAAAAATATTAACCGCGAACGATCGTTAATTTTTTTTCCTTGCTCCTTCACTTTTTTTGCCTCGTTCTTTAATACACGCTTTCTAAATTAGTTATACACGTGTGCCCGCGTATATTATTAATTAATATACTCCTGTATACCACGCATGACAGACTCGCGAGGTATACAGGTAATGTAAGGTGGCTACTACTACCTGTTGTTGTTGATTTTTCGAAATCTCGGAGTATACGCACATGCATCGCATATTATTGCTAAATATTTACCAAGACGGACAAAGGCGGACGCGGAGATCTGTGTGCATCGGCCGGAAGTGCACACATGCGCACGTATAGATTGAACACGAACAAAAAAAAAATTAAGAAAATTAGAAACTCCCCGCGTATCGCTAATATAATACCAAGTGCGAACTATCGTAACGTTATACACACACAACGAATCTCGTTAGCGTTACACAGGAGGTACACACACGCGCGCGTTTGATAAGACAGAGAGGAAGCTCACGAAATTGCGTAACAACTGCGAAACGTGCAATATATAATGTGTCCAATTGACGATTACACGTGTACAGAGGAACTTTTGCCAAATTTCTCAGACACGTTATAAATCACGAGCTGTGCAAGGCAAGGCGAGCAAAGTTCTAGATTCTCTCCGCGCGATATACGAGTAAAATGTTTTATGCGCGCACGGACGCAGACACTAAACTATATAATAATGCGCGTGTGCGTGAATAAGTGTGACTGCGCCGTACGCCGTGTAGCAGCACTGTTTCGCATTCGCATAATGTATGCACAATCTTAATACAATAATTTCTCGCGCTTTTGTGCGAGCGCGAGAGAGTAAGAGAATTTATATTATATTATGCTCGACCCACATCTCTCTGCGCGGGTATATATAGCGTATAGTGCACCGGGAGGTTTAATTCATTTATATGTTTACGCGAGGAGAGAGAGAGACTAAGCGAAATTTATTTTATAAGGAGTGAAACTATATTCCGTATAAAAGTGGAGCTACTGTACCGCGCAATTATAACTCATCCACTCTGAGCGAGCCGTTGATGCCCGGGATTATTATTTTTTTCTCCTTCTTTTGCATCATCGCCGCCGGTAGTGCACACGGAGAGTTGAAGAAATTTTCGCTCGTAGCTCGCGGAAACGCGCGAGGACGTTGTAGCCTTGAATGAAATTTTCACCAGCGCTAAAAAGTGTGCGTGTATATGTGGGTGAAGAAAAAACTTACGCTTTTCTTATACGCGTTATATTATGTTTGCACGAAAAATAAGAAAGAACGAGAGAATAATACGAGAGTAAGAATCCCCCTGCGCGGTTAAACTACGTACGAGGAGAGCTGCTGCCCCCGTGTTCGGAGCTCCCAAAAGGACTCCCTCGTGCAAAAAAAAACAGGCAGACTTTGAGGAAAGGAGTACGAAACTTGGCGCGTCAGGTGACGCGTGTGGTAACACACGTGCGGTGCAGTACGCTGGTGAACTCGTTTCTCTTCGCAGCTATCCGAAAATTTTTTCCTTCTTCCTTTTCTTTTTGGAATCCCTACTCTTCCTTAACTGCAGTGCACAGTGTGAGTGTAGTAATGCCGCGTGGACGCAATTTGTTATTTTGATGATAATTGCCCGTACACAGCTCATATCCGACGACGGCGACGACGACATTTATAATATACACGAGCTTTTCCTTCTTTGCTTAATCTTAGCGCGTATAATCTCAGGCGAAATTTTAATCTTCGTATACGCGTGCGTCGGTGTATGGCAGTATAATTACCCGCTGCGATATAATTGTCTTCTTCTCTCTTACTCCCGATGACGATGATGATGAAAAAAAAGACCTCGCGCGCGAGTCGATTAACCGACGAGCGTATATACGTACACAACATTATTATATATCCTAATATCCTTTACAATGGAGAGCGAAAATTTTCGACGGTGTGAATATTTTCTCCTACGGCGCGGGTTAAAAAGGAAGAAAAGAAGACGACCGAAGAATACACGCGTTGTTGTACGGCTAACGTAATGAATCATTCAAGAAAAATACAAAACGTTATTGCCTCGAGAGCGAGACCCCTTGATCTCGGGTCGTCGTCGTCGTCTTAAATACACATACGGCGCGTTTCGATATAATAATCCCACGGACCGAGCAGGTAGCAAAATTCTTATGACGACGACGATGAGTAGCGCTGCGCTGTGGTGTACATCCGGGGGCCTACAACTACTACTACTGGCTGCTGCTGCTGCTGCTGCTGCTTTACATGCACGACGCGCGTCCGCACTCTCATCCACTCGTGTCGAAGGTTTTTTTTTCTCACTGCGCGTCTCGGAGCTGCTTGAATACACACACACAGACACACACACACACAGAGTTATCGACTAGAATCTTAACTACTTGGCCGATTCCTTTTTTCCATACGCTTATAGATGTACGCGAACGAATGAGTGTGTGGGCAATAATAATAGCGCTAGGAGGAGTCGCTCTTTTATTGTTGCACACCTACACACATGAGACACACACACATACACGAACTGTCCAGCGAGTTTCTAGGAGTCGATTCCAATTTTATTGTGTTTATATGTGCTCGCGTGGACATACACCAGTAAATACAAAGGAAAAGCCGCTGCGATCGAGGTCGTTGAACCCCGGACATTTCCAATACGACACATATTACGGCTTTTCAATAGTGCTGCTGCCGCTGCTGCGAAAAAAAGTCGACTTACCTTGATAGGAAAATCGCAAGGCTTTTTATTATTTTTTGATTCGTTCGATGAATTATACGCGCGAGATTGGTATCTCCTTTCGGATCGGATATAATGCGTAAATTAATAAAAACTCAGAGCGACGCACACCTGTCACAATTTAATCTTCCTTCTTGCATGTATATATAGCAGCAGACGATCAGCCGATCGAGCACCTTCGTAGCTTCTTCCGAGAGATAAAAATAGCGAATTATCTGAGCTGAAAAACATCCATTTTTACTTTGGCATTATAAAATGTCATTATATCCATCCTCGTGCGCTGCGTGCAATTTAATGTAATCCAGACGATTAAAATTCGAGCGCTTTTTCTGGCACGCAGCTGAATTATTGTAACCTTTTCTTGATTACGTTGTTTTAACCCGCGTCGTCGCGGGCGATTATTTGTCGATTCGCTCTGAAACGGTGCATCAGTATCGTCGAAAAAAAAAGAAATCATGAAAGTACAGACAGATGCATAAAGTTTGTATTTGTGCAATAAATATTTTTTATTTTTTGCTGGAAGAAAAACATAAATATAATTGACGCGATGACGTCGCTCAGCGGCCCTGATACGATCGTTGAGTTATGTAAGCAATCGAACAGGATCACATTTCCCCTTGTGACTTTTTTCTTTGTTTAAAGAGTCAGCGAGGACTTTTGAATGTCCCTCCTCGAGCTAGATACAGCGCCGACTAAAAATTCTCTACCGGCTTCATACCGGCCGCGCTGGCAGCTATGGTAGATAGAAAAGGTTTTTCATTTATCGAATGTCAAATTATTAATCATCGCGTAGAGACAATTAGCTGAACTGATTTAAAATATAAAAAAAGACTGCCTGTAAAAATCTTTTCCCAATGATGTGTACAGATTAAATAAAAATATTTAACATCGCTACAGGTGACTATTGAAGCATAACATCTAAGCATATTAAAAATCGTTAGAGTGTATAATTCGTGACTCAAGTCGATCGGATCGTTAAACAATCGAAGCAATTTTCGGCGAGATAACGAAACTATGATAATAGCAAAATAATGTTAATGTATTGAAATAAGTTAAAGATCAATGATTTTGCACGACGACAGAGATACCGAACGTCGAGAAGCACGTGCACATGTACTTGTCGCGAGGAAATTCATTACTAACATGTTTTTTTTGTTCAAACATTTGATGGAAAGAAAGTGACGTGATTAAAGTATTGTGTGGATTACATAATGTTACCTCGATGATTAAAAATCGATCGATTTGACATTTTTATGCAACTCGCAGAAGGCGCAGAAACAATAATTCGAGAATGAGATTCTCAACCGAAATAAGATCGAACGCGGCACAGCGTAGAAATAAAAGAGCAATTTCTGGAATTTTTTAATTCGCGCATAGATTTTTTGAGAGTTCGACACGAAAAACGATTTCCGTACCCCATTAATTGTCATCGAATTAATTTGCAATATCAATCGATACGATACGCGAGAGCAAATAAATTATATAAACTCCAATTCGCAAATGCGATGTCAATATTACTTTAATGAAATTATCAGCTGAAATAATGACATAATGCGCGCCCAAAATTGCTCTCCGGTATAAAAAGCAGTTATCGATCGATTCCAAGCTCAGATCGAGTTGTGCCGTCGTTTTTACTTACCCGCGATGGCTTCCAAGTGGTTGTTGACGTGCGTCTCAGTTGCCGTGCTGCTGTGCAGCGTAGCGGCCAGGCCAGGTCAGTTTATCATACTTTACTACATTGATTGCAGACTCCGAAAGAATCGCATTTTTATTGTTTCGATTTGTTTTTTTTTTTTTTTTGGTTTTTTCATACAGAGTCGGGAGGAAAATATCACGAGAAGGCGGACGGCAATTACCTGCTGGTAGTCAACAAGGATGGCAAAGCGCCGTTCGGCGGTAAGGTCATTCAGAACGCCGCCTCGGTCACCGTGAGCGGCAACCTCATGGTGGTGGTCAACGGACCCGTGAACGCGGCCGCTCAGTCGGTCGCCCAGCAGATCGGCGGTTTCTGGCAGGATCTGGTGATTCGCGGCAGCGAGGCCGTCTTGGTGCACGGCAACTTGATCCTCGTCACCGGCGGACCCAACAATCAGGCCAACGCCAACGACCTGTCGCTCATTCCCGTGTCGCACGACGCCCAAGTCGCCGACGGAACCAGAATCGAGGTGAACGGTGTGAATTTCGTCGTGGTCGGCAACATCATCGGCGACGCCAAGGCCAAGAAATTCATCCTGGAGAAACTCAAGGCCCAGGCCGAGGCCGCGGCCCAGAGTAGCGCCGAGGCTAAGGCCGCGGCCGAGGCGGAAGCTCGAGCCAAGGCGGCTGCAGAAGCTGCGGCCCGGGCCGCTGAACAGGCCCAATCTGAAGCAGCCGCGAAAGCCGCTGCCGCTGCAAAAGCCGAGGCCGAGGCAAGGGCCAAGGCCAAGGCAGCCAGTGAGGCCCAATTGAAACTTCAACAGGAAGCCGATGCCCGAGCAGCCGCCGAGGCCCAGGCTTCCGCTGCCGCTAGCGCCCAAGCTAGCGCCAGAGCCGAGGCCCAGGCTCTCGCGGCCGCGGCTGCGAAGGCTAGGGCCCAGGCCGAAGCCGCTAGCGAGGCCCGAGTTCAGGCAGAAGCTGCCGCCCGGGCAGCAGCCGCTGCTAAAGCCGAAAGTAGCGCCAGAGCAGAAGCTCAAGCTCAGGCAGAATCGAACGCCAGAGCAGTAGCCGAGAGTCAAGCCAAGGCTGCCAGTGAGGCTTCCGCTAACGCGAGCGCCGTAGCCCAGGCCACGGCATCCGCCCAGGCAGCCGCCGACTCAACCGCCAGCGCCAGTGCCCAGGCAAGCGCAACCGCGGCCGCCCGAGCAAGCTCGGAAGCTCGAGCGAGCGCCGAAGCTAGCTCAAGAGCCAAGGAAGCCGCCAGGGCCCAGTCCGAGGCCGACGCAGCTGCTCGCGCGCAAGCCGTAGCCGCCGACGAAGCCGACAAAGCCGCCGAAGATCTCAAGAAGTGCCAGCAGAGAGCCGACGAAGCCGCGGCCGCCGCCGATCAAGCCGACGCGGCTTTGGCCGAAGCCGAAGCTCTGGTGAAAGCAAAAGTGACAGCAGCGGCCGAGGCTAATGCCAGAGCCGTGATCGAAGCAGAAGCCGCGGCCCAAGCAGAATCAGAAGCTCGAGCTGCCGCGGAAGCTCTGGCAATAGCTTCATCGAAGGCCCAATCCTTAGCCGAAGCACGTGCCGAAGCAGAAGCTCATGCCCAGGCCCAGGCCCAGATTGCAGCTAAGGCCCAATCCGATGCTCGAGCGGTCGCGGAGTCGAGGGCACAGGCCGCAGCCGAGGCTCGGGCCCAGGCCGAGGCTCACGCCCAAGCTGTGGCAGCAGCCGAGAGTGCGGCCCAAGCAGAAGCTCGTGCAAAGAGTGCAGCTGCCGCAGCCGCGCAGGCTGCCGCAGACGCAGAATCTAGGGCCCAGGCCCAAGCCGAGGCCGCTGCCAGAGCTGCCGCTGCTGCCCAGGCACAGGCAGCCTCAGAGGCCCAGGCCCAAGCAGCTGCATCCGCCCAAGCGAAAGCTGCCGCCCAGGCCCAGGCCACCGCATCCGCCCAGGCCCAGGCAGTAGCAATCGCAAAAGCGAAAGCAAACGCGGCTGCCAGAGCAAAAGCCCAAGCAGAAAGTGTAGCTTCCGCCAGCGCGAAAGCAAGCGCAATCGCCAAGTCAAAAGCTCAATCTCTAGCTGTCGCCGAAGCTAGCGCCCGGGCCGAATCTTTAGGTAATGCCCAGGCGGACGCCCGCGCCAAAAGTGAAGCTGATTCTCGCGCCAAGAGTCAAGCCGAAGCCGATGCCAGATCACAGGCCGAAGCCGCTATCGCTAACGCGGTAGCCGCCGCCAGAGCTAAGGCCCAAGCCGAGGCCCAAGCGAAAGCTAAGGCTAAAGCTGCTGAAGCTGCCAAAGCCGCCGCCGCTGCATCCGCCCAGGCCCAGAGCGTGGCTAACGCAGTAGCTGCCGCCAAAGCTCAGTCCAAGACCGCAGCCGCCGAAGCTAAAGCTACCTCCGACGCCAAGGCCCAGAAGAAGGCCCAGGCCGACGCCGCGGCCCAGGCCAAGGCCAAGGGAGACGCTATCTCGAAGGCCATCGCCAACGCTTTGTCGAAGCAAAGCGCCCAGGCCAACGCCAACACGCAATCGATCTCGAAGACCGGAGACGCCATCGCCTCCTCGGTGTCGTCGGCCATAGCCGGTAACAAATTCTTCGACGACGACGATGACGACGACGATTACGATTATTAAACTGAACGAGGTATGATAATATTTCAAAAAAAAATTATTTCAAAAAAAATTTTTGTGAAAAAAAATTGTTCAAAAAAAAAATTTTTGTGAAAAAAAATTGTTCAAAAAAAAAAATTTTTGTGAAAAAAAATTGTTCAAAAAAAAAATTTTTGTGAAAAAAAATTGTTCAAGAAAAAAATTTTAATTAAAAAAAAATTATTTAAAAAAAATTATTTAAAAAAAAATTTTTATGAAAAAAAATAATTATGAAAAAAATTATTTAAAAAAAAAATTTTTATGAAAAAAAAAATTATAAAAAAAATTATTTATAATAATAAATTGTTTATAATTTTTATAAAATTATGTTACAGTAAACTTAACAGAGTTTGATTCCATTATTCGTATTAATTTGTGTAAAATATTTTGCAGGTAGCTGTGTTAGATGGTCATACGATAAACGGAGAACGCGGAGAATCAAAGGAATTAAGATATACGTCATCAGCTGAATTACTGAAATAAAAATATTTAGAAATAATTTTTACACAATCCTTTTCTATTATCCATATTTATGATAAAATAAAAAATGGTATAACTTAAAAAAGGTGTGACTCGAAATCATTTAATTTTCCCATGATGTAACGCGTGACTTGAAAAGTTAAAGAAAAAGTATATTAATTTTCATTTAATAATGAGAAACAGCAATAAATATTATTATCATTTAGGAAACAAAAAATGGTATAAAGAGAATTCCATCACTACCTTTACAATGTGAATTTCTTTTGCACCAATGGTCATTGTGTGCACATTCTGCAGGGGCCATCTATGGCCATCAGGTCTTGTAATATTCTGTAGTATGATTGTATAATTTTATTTGTAAAAAAACTAATTTATTCTCATATATCTTTCCCCTGACCTTGAAGATATACGTAAATTAAAATTTTTCAATATAAAATAGTACGCTTACCATTCTATTGTAAAATTATTTAAAAAATACAATAAAAAATAAATTTAGCTTGATTCGCGGCTTACTTTTATTAATCTTCTGTAATTAATACTATATATAGCACCCAATCATAATTTTTATTTAATCAAATTAGAAAATATCACGCAAGCAACAACTTTTCCAATCAAAATAATCTTTTAACCAAGATCTGTTTCATTCTTATTATTCCTATCTACTTATGAATCTCGGGGCTTTAGAATCAAAAAAGAAATTTAAAACTGTTCTTTAACAACTAATTTTTTAGCTTGGGGAAATCATAGCAATGAAAAAATAAAAATGATTTAAACAATTTAAATCACTTAGATTGAAATCAAATTTTAATTCATAAAAAACTATTAGGCTCAAAAAATCGAAACATTACCAAGGTGAAAATAGTATGTAAGATCTGACTCCGGATCTGGCATCAAATCTGGTATAAGATCTGACAAATGTACACCAGATCTGACATCAGATCTGATACCAGATCTTGTATTCGATAATCGATATCAGAACTTATATCACATCTGACATCAGATCTAATGTCAGATCTGAAGTGACCATTTTGCCTCTAATTAATTAAACAATAAATTTATTGATACTTAAAATTTTATAACAAATTTAGTTATATTTCAATAATCACATCGATAATATCTTTAAGAAAAATTCCTACAATATTTAGGTTTCTGATAATATGAATTTAAATGGATCCAACAACTTTTATTATTAATATTTATTATAAAATTTTAATTATTTATAAACTTATTGTTTTATAAATTAGAGGCAATATAGTCACTTCAGATCTGACATTAGATCTGATGTCAGATCTGATATAAGTTCTGATGTCGATTATCGAATACAAGATTTGGAATCAGATCTGATGTCAGATATGGGGTACATTGGTCAGATCTTGTACCAAATCTGATGCCAGATCTGGAGTCAGATCTTGCATACTATTTTCACCTGGGTATGAATCATAAATATTATATTCGCATAATGTTCGTTACAGAGAGGCGATAATTAGTTATATCAGACACAACAAAGGCTCTGAAAATTTTGAATATCATTTTCTATAAACATCTTCGTTGGCAGTAAAAGGTTCATCTATGGTGCAAAAATATAATCATTGGTATATCCAAAGTATCAATTAATGTTAGTCAAATGCATTCGAATAAAACTATTAATGATACACTACTGCTACTACTACTACTACCATTAATACACTACTACTTCTACTACCACTGATAAACTACTACTGATTTACTTACATAAATTATTTTTTTATATAACTCATTATGTGATTATGTAAAGAGAAATTATAAAGATAACAATTATTAAATCAATCAAATTAAATCAGTTAAAAAATGTTAATAAAGATTGTTTTTAGTTTTGTATAAATAATGTCTAAATAGAATATTCCAATCGTGAAAAAAAAAGCTGTAAAAATAATTTTATTTGCACAATTTGTGGTCACCAAGACTTTGATGCAACTACTTGCGAAAATATTGCATTTGTTAAGTAGAACGCCTCAAATGATCTTCCGAAATTTGATGTAATTCATGGCTTCATAGTGGTACTTTGAAATTAAAAGAACACGAATTGCTTGTTAAATCGCGATTTCGTGAGCCACTGCCACGGCGATTAAAGTTTAAGTGGTTGTTTAGATTGCAAGTGCAATACCGCCATTAGTGGTTACAAATACATTTTTAGCTAACATCTTAGAATGAAAACGAGACAGCTTCTGATATAAAAAGGTAAGTCATTCTCGAGGAACGGATTACTTGCTCGTTGATGGCATTATGCAGCCAGTCAGATGGGTAAGCGTTCGAATAAGAAGTTTTGTTTTTGTGAGCTTAGAGTCTTTTTTTGAGACGAACGATCGTTGAAATTTAAATTAATCTATTATTATTATAAAGTTTGAACAAGATTCAGTGTACTAAAATCATTCATTTTTTAGGTATCAATATTGATCTGTGTTATTAGTTGTCAAAGTGTCTACAGTCAATATAGAGTGCAAAATGCAGGATATTCATACGAAAGACCGAGGGTACCTTTTCCCTTACCAACGCAAACGGCGCAACCACCAAGTCCGAGTTTACCACCTCGACCACCGCCTCCTCCAACGTACAATTATCCATCTCCTACACCAAGCCGACCACCACCAACAACCAGGCCACCCCCAAGACCACAACCACCAGTAACATATAATTATCCTTCGCCACCGCCACCTCCTCCCCCACCACCACCTCCTCCTCCTCCTCCTCCCCCTCCTCCAGTAACTTACAATTATCCATCTCCACCTCCCCCACCTCCCNTCCGTCTCCACCGCCACCACCACCACCGCCACCACCTCCTCCTCCTCCTCCTCCACCACCACCACCCCCTACTCAATCATACTTACCACCCGTGGTTATAACTAGACCACCACCACCACCACCGCCACCTCCTCCTCCGCCACCTCCTCCTCCCCCTCCTCCTCCGCCTCCACCACCACCACCAACAAGACCACCTCCACCGCCTCCTCCTCCACCACCTCCTACTCAATCATACTTACCACCAGTAGTTATAACTAGACCCCCTCCTCCTCCACCTCCACCGCCACCGCCGCCACCCCCTCCTCCTCCTCCTCCACCACCACCTCCACCACCACCACCTCCACCACCACCACCACCGCCGCCGCCACCTCCTCCTCCTCCTCCTTCTCAGCCCCCACAATCTTATCTTCCACCAGTTACACCAACGTATAGTCCACCACCAAGTATTTCAACCCCAGCACCTACTTATTTACCACCGTATAGCGGCAATCAAGCATACTCGTCAACACCTTATGCTGATTTATCGTCTACAAGTCCATCTTATTCAACTTTTGGCAGTACTGCTTTTTCATCGGCGTCAGCTTCTTCATCAGCCGTGAGTTCAAATTTTCCAACCACTTTATCAAGTAGTACAATGCCATCGTCAACTGCATCTTCGTCATCTTTGACAGTAACTTCTACGCCCGACATGATATCCAATGGATCGCCAATAAGTTCTTCTACAACCATTTCTAACTTACCAGAAGCAGTTATGTCATCGACGACATTTAGCACAAGTACTACAATGCCTGCGAGTGCATCCTCTTATTCTGAATCACCGGTTTCAAGTACTGTTTCTTACGACAATGTAAACTCGATAAGTGATTCGAATTACAATTATCCATCGCCGGCAGCTAATTTTATGGATGGCACTTCCGCGTCTACAATTGCCCAAGAGATGTCTAGCGTAACTACCGAAGCAACAGCACCGCCTACTGCGTACAGTGCATCCACGAGTGCAAGTTATAGTAGCCCTTCATCGCAGGCAGTATCAGTGCAAGAAAGTTCAATGTCAACTTTTACCGAAGCACCTGCCGTCTCCAGCACTCAACCTTCAACAGTAATATCTTCGACACCGACAAGTGTTGAAACATACTCTCCGACTACTCAGTCGGTAGCATCCAGTACGCAAGCGATTCCTTCGACCACCTACGATTATTCTGCACCCTCGGTACCATTTTCCCTACCAACGATGACCTCCACAACGTCGACTCCCTCAACGATCCAAATAAGTTCTGTTACACCCACTTCACCCACGACGTATTCTACGACACCAACGACGACAACGCAAGCGCCAAGCTCGACACTATCGACTACCGAATATCCATCAACACCAAGCCCACAGCCCTCGTCTCCAGTAACTTACGATTATTCGACACCTTCGGTACCCTTGCCTGTGCCAACGACTGTGACACCGTCGACCGAGACGTCGACAGTTGTAACAAGTGCCCCGACTTCGCCCACGACAAGCGCGTTCGTGCCGACCACTCCGATGACGACCGTTTATTCGACGCCCGCCCCGACAGTTTCGACCACGGTAACGACCACAACTCCTTCTACCACCATGGCCACGACTTATTCGCCCAGGCCATCGTCGACTGTCACGATACCCAGCGTCTCGACCGAGTCGACGCCGGTGACTTACGATTATCCAACGCCGAGTACTACTACGCCAGCGCCACCGAGGCCAACCGCTCCCAGCACGCCTTATTATCCTCCGCCGCCTCCGCCGCCGCCGCCACCACCACCGCCAAGACCAGCTCCTGTGCCGACTTACAATTATCCAGTACCCACGGCGCCGCCTGCGCCAACTCGATTGCCGTCTCCGAGACCGAGGCCGACGAGACCGAGGCCCGTTATCACACCGAGACCGCAGCCACCGAGAGCTTCTTATCTTCCGCCTCAGAGGGTACCGACTAGACCGCCCCCGCCACCGCCATCGCCGACGCCGTTCGAGAGCCGTTTTTATTTGCCGCCAGCACGACCGGCGCCTTCTTATTTGCCTCCAGTGAGATAAGTATTATTTAAGAGTAAAAAGAACAAGTCGTCGTAGAGGCCCGTATCAAAGAGTATTATTGTCAACACTATGCATATAAATATCTATCATGTTTATCATTCTAAACTAGTAAGAGAATATTTTTTTAAAAAATATATAAAATAATTTTATGATTTTATGAAGAAAAATCAGATGTATTATTAACTTGATCAATTTAAATAGCACTGTATACCTGACATTTAACACAATGATAAGAAGTGAAGATTGAATAAAAGTAATTGATTAATTATTTTCGCATTTTTAATAAATATCCATTAATTTAAATTGCAAACTTTGTAAATCGCTTAAGGTAGTTCCCTCAGACCTGACCGTCAAATTTGGGCATATGTCTAGCAAAAATCTGAAAAATTTATACGCTTTCCTTGGCAAATTCTAAGCTTTTTTTGTTCTTTTAAAATTTTTCGTAGAGTTGATACTTATTGAGATAAAAAATCGCAAAGATTCTTTACTTAAAATTGTTTAAATTTGAATCGTTTATAGCTCGTGAACAATAGATTTTAGAGAAAATTTGTAAGAGCACTTTTTTGTTTAAAATGACCCTGAAAACCTTAAAAAGTTGGTTTCAGGTCAAAAAGTCAAAATTTTTATTTTTGCAATGTTTTTACATTAATTTTTTTCAAAAACTGTTTGGTCAAGTTTTTCCAGTTTTTGAGCTATGTTTCAGTACATACTGAACAATAATCTCCTAGTTTTTGAAAAGATTTTATCGATGCGTTTTTTTTAATCCCACAAAATAGCGTCTTTTCGACACGCTCGCATATGTGACATCGCCATGAAAAGCCGATATCTTTCAAATTCTTATAAAGTTCAGCGCCTACAGACGGTTATACCGCCTTACATCAATGACAGACTTGTTACTCAAAAACTTCTGAGCGCGATACTTTTAAAAAAAAGAGCTTTGAATTGTTTCGTGCATTTTATAAATAAAATGCAACACTATAAATTAAATATTATCTTTCTTCCAAATAGTTGTTAATAATCTTAACGATTATTTATGATATTATCCCTGAATGTATTTTACACCTTCTCCTACGACATGCAGATGATAAGATGCAGCAAAGTGCAAGTGAATGGTTCATAGCATTGATATATTTCAAGATAAGTAACAAATAACTATTATAATTTTAAAATCAAACGATTAATACTAAAGCTTTTACGAATGAAATAAAGAACATGGGTGGAAGAGAGTGACTAATGTCATATTTACGCGTTCGGATCATGTTAAACCACTGGTAGCTCCTACCACACACATAGCCGTTGTTAAAAAGCAGTATCGATATGGCATATAATAAGCTCAGTCTCGTCCCGGCCGCAAAACGAATCACTGCTCCACCCAGGTTCGACCAATTTGTTCTACATCTATTATTCAAAATGTGAGTACAATAAATTATTCTGTTAAACCAACTTTTACTACTTTTCTTTTCCTGTAACTATGCTTTTTATACTTATATTATAATAAAATATATATGATTATCAAAAATATTGATGACTGATCGTCACTGCCACGGTGCAATAAACAGTATTCTGTTTTGCACTCGTGAAAGTGATAAAATAAACTTATTAATAAAAAGGTAAAATCATTTCCAAAATGCAAGCTTGCCACACATATTTGAGCGAAAACCAGTGCTACGAGCCCTTCCGGCTCAGCACAACATGCAAGGCCAGTGCAATTCACATTGCAAAAAGACACTTTGACAATTAATTTCTCTATTAATTTACAACAAATTATAATTATAACGCTCATGTCGCTCCCGCGACATGACACATAGGGATCCCATGTTAAAGTATTGAACTTTGATTAATTATATTTCGGAAATGGTTTGGTTAAAATTCCTGAAATTTCTCACACATATGAAAAGCATTGTCAATAATATCCTTCCTTAAAAAAATGATGTGAAGTCGTTTTATTCGTCACCCCATTGGTCGAGGAGTAGGCCAGGGATTATAGCTAAAAAAGAGGTAATTTTTGAGCAAGAAAATTCCTGCAATCTAACCCAGTAGATGTATAAAGTATTGAAAATGTTGCATTGTGGTGGAAATGTACCAAACAAAAATTGTTTATAACAAAATTGGAAAAATAAGCAAAAAAGTGTTTTTTTCGGTTTTCGGACGAAACGTTTTGAGTGCAAAGGGAAAGTTGTAGGTAATCGCAAGACCTTTAAAATGACGCGTCTACCGATTAAAAAATCCTAATTTTCATCGAGATATTCACGAAAAACCGCAAGAAAAGCCATGATTTTTCGAAAAGTCATATCTCCCTTACTTTTTATCGTACAGAATTAAGATTTTACGAGAAAGTACTTTGAATCATCTTCAAAACGCAGAAAAAAATTCAAATCTCTAAGACTTATAGTTTTCTTGTAATCGCTCATTCAAAATTTAATTTCAATTTTTTTCATGTTTTCTCAAAGCTCATTCTTGCCCAGAGGAATAATTAATCTTAATTTAAACAATGGTTTTAAAACCTCCAAGTCTTTCTCTACAAGTGCCATGAACATTTCCTATCTCCAAAATGCATTGTACTAGCTGAAAAAGTGATTCGTAACTGGAGCGTTTGCGAATATTTTCACCTAATCGAGCGAAGTCGAGAGAAGTGGGGGTAACTCCGCGTGCGAGGAGGCAGTTTTCACTCGAGCCGCGCTCGACTAGGTGCAAATATTCGCAAACGCTCCAGTTACGAATCACTTTTTCAGCTAGTACAATGCATTTTGGAGATAGGAAATGTTCATGGCCCTTCTAGAGAATGACTTGGAGGTTTTAAAACCATTGTTTAACTTAAGATTAATTATTCCTCTGGGCAAGAATGAGCTTCGAGAAAACATGAAAAAATTGAAATTAAATTTTGAATGAGCGATTACAAGAAAACTATAAGTCTTAGAGATTTGAATTTTTTTCTGCGTTTTGAAGATGATTCAAAGTACTTTCTCGTGAAATTTTAATTCTGTACGATACAAAGTAAGGGCGATATAACTTTTCGAAAAATCATGGCTTTTCTTGCGGTTTTTCGTGAATATCTCGATGAAAATTAGGATTTTTTAATCGGTAGACGCGTCATTTCAAAGGTCTTGCGATTACCTACAACTTTCCCTTTGCACTCACATCGTTTCGTCCACCATGTTTCGTTGAAAACCGAAAAAAAACACTTTTTTTGCTTATTTTTCCAGTTTTACAGACGCCATTTTGTTAAAAACAATATTTGTTTGGTATATTTTCACCACAATGCAACATTTTCAATACTTAATACATCTATCGGGTTAGATTGCAGGAATTTTCTTACTTACCAAAAAATCTCTATTCCCCGGCCTAGAGTAACTGCGCCTCGCTTCATGATTGGTCGGAATCTCGCGTCGGTCGTTGATATAATTATTTTAGTGGGAAAACTTAAATGTGGCATCTGATTAAATGTTTATATTTGGAAGTCATTGGTCATTTTAATTGCAACTTGATTAGTTGGAGCGCGCGCGAGCGCGTTTCATATCACTAGTGCGGTTAAAATTTCAAGACCCGTTATCGATAGTCATTTTTTTGAGGGAACTACCTTAAGGGAACATATACACCTTAAACTCAAAAAAAAATTTATTGCTTTATTAAATAGAATTTTTTCGTTCCTTTCCATTGCCTTTTTCGAAATTCCAAAATTTTGATTTTGCCCTGAGATACAGCTGTTTCCGTGAACCCTTTTCCTATACTTTACGTGTTAAATTTTTTTTTCTTTTGAGTTTTCTGGCGTTTTACGTTTTTACCAAAGTGCACATCAATAGTAACATTCAGAGCGTACCGATTGAGTTACAGCACCAGGGTCGTGTACACTTCTTCAGAACATCAATGGTTACAGTCACTACCTCGGTTGAGACGATCGAACCAGTAGGTCGCTCTCAAACAGTACTTTTATGACTGAAATTTCGGTAAATACGAAAAATGGAAAAAAATGTGTGCTTAACTGTTCATGCAGAGCAATTTGCCCGTTCGATCGTCTCATCCGAGGTAGTGACCGTAACCATTGATGTTCTGAAGAAGTGTACGCGACCCTGGTGCTGAAGCTCAATCGGTACCCTCTGAAAGTTACGATAGATGACCAAAAACACTACTCGCCAGAAAACGCAAAAGAAGAAAAAATTTAACACGTAAAGTATAGGAAAAGGGTTCATGGAAACATCTGTATCTCTGGGCAAAATCAAAATTTTGGAATTTCGAAAAAAGCAATGGAAAGGGACGGAAAATCCTACTCAATGAAGCAATAAAAAAAATTTCGAGTGGTGTATGTGTCCCCTTCAAAAATACTATGCACGACCACCACTCAATACACATCTAAAGATGTATATAAGAGAGTCTTGAATATGTGGCATTTCACGTCAACTCTCCTAGTGCCACGCGGTGCGGCAAAATTAAGTCAAATCACTAAATTTGTAAATCGCTGTAAAAGTACTAAAATGCACCTAGAGAAAAAAATGATTACTATACATGATTTCGATGGGAAATTGCCTCAGCTTTTTGATGGTGAGGTCAGATTTTCTGAAATTTTCCGTTTTACCCGGGAAAATGGCTGGGAAAACTTTAAAGTCGATTATCTCAAAAACTTCATTTTTCAGATTTTTTTAAATAGCCTAGATCGAAAGATCAGGAAATTTTCCATCGATATAGATATTTTCCAAAGAGGCGAATAGATCGGTATAGATATTTTCAAGAGAGGTATAGCTAGAGAAAGAAGAAAAAACGTGGTTTTTTCGGGAGCGCGGGCGGCTGGGCATGCAAAACCCACGTAAAAGCCACGTTTTTTCTTCTTTCTCTCGCTATATCTTTCTAAAATCAAAAAACACCTCTCTGGAAAATGTCTATATCGATGGAAAATTTCCTGATCTTTAGATCTAGACTATTTAAAAAAATCTGAAAAATGACATTTTTGAGATAACCGACTTCAAAGTTTTCCCAGCGATTTTCCTGGGTAAAACGGAAAATTTCGG